GCTGCTATATATAATTTGGGGTGGCCAGCTCAACTGACCACAAGAGATGGTTCCCTCAACCGTACTGCCAACGATGCGCAAATGTCCCGTAGAGTCCCATCATCTGAATACGTAGCCGCAATGATGGGATCCAAATACTGTACAGACGCCAGACAAGGTTTAGCACAAGGTGAAACGCTCGGGTACACATCATACGTGCCTTGGCTTTCGGAGAGGCCTGTTTAGGCTTACAGGCCAGTTTGATGACCTTATCCCAATGCCCGGACATTGCGGCGAAATGTGGTGAAAGCCAAGATGGAGTAGAGTTCAATCGACCACATGTCTCCAACGAACTGACAATCAACGACAAAATTTATATTCATGATAAATCTAAGAGCTTTGCTATACTAAATGTCTGCCCCTTCACCTCCGTAACGTTTCAGTAATTCCTCCTTGGAAATCACCGGAAGTAGCGCTTCGGAAATAGTAGCGGGTCCACTTCCGACGACAGCCATCTTCTTCTGCGTAGCAGGTGACAACAGCTTAGTGAAGGTCCAGAATATCCATGTAAGGAGTGTTGGTACTGAGACAAAGAATTTCTTGTGCTGTAAAGGTTGGCGTTAGAGCCCTGGGAAAATGAAGATCCGGTGGACGAACCAATAGCTCGGGATAATAGTCACTGAATATCTGACTAGCTTGACTGGCTGCTGCTTTTGAATTAGCAGTTCGACCTCCCAAACCAACGCCTGCATAATCTGACCAAGGATGAGTGCCAGGTTACGAAGTCCACACTCCTCTTACCATGTACTTGGACCATGCTGTCGACTGTTTCGAAATCAATCAAGCCGATTCCACGCTCCATAAGATTGACACGCCACCTATCTTGATTCAGCTCGACAGCTAGATAGAGAGACTTCTGGAGCTTACCGGAGGAATTGGTCGACGTCCTTGAAGACAACCTCTGGTGAAACAGAGCCATAGAAGTTGTACGTAACTGGTCTTCCTGCCTTATCTTTACCTGAAATGACTCCGACCTTTCCAAATACATCCTCAGGGAACTCCTCTTTTGCGAGATGGTCAACTTTGAACTCCTCACGCCACTTCAGTGTTGAAACGAGCATCGATTTCGCAGCTTCAAGATTTCCTTGCCTAAATGAGATACCTTAGTGTCTTATTTGCGGAAAGACTAACGTGTACCGCTTCACCTTGCGCGAATAAATTTCACCAGAACGACACTAGCCTTGGCAGTTGGAGATGTGGCGGAAAGCTCCACTCCCCAAAGATGTGGAACCCTCTCCTTGTTATCGTAAGCTTCTTCTGAGACCTCACTGAGTAGTGCCTATGTTGGGGAACCGTCAAATGGTCCGTCAGAGAACTATGTCCGTTCAATAAGAACTGGTTAAAAGACTGACCCGCAATTTCTTTACGCCATCCCACTCTTGTTCTGTGAAAGCCTCTGTGAAGCGATTCTGCGGCTCTTGTGTGTTTGCAGAGGTAGTCGCCGCAGCCTCTGGAGCGGCTTTGGGTGGTTCGACATGCTCCTCCTGCGAAGCGACGATGGCCGCTGAAGAAATTTAGCACAAAGTTGATAAAGGCGAGAGAGAAAAAAATTGCCTGGTGTTTCAGACGACATGGGTTTATCAGATAATGACTAGATAACGGTCGAGGCCAAGGAGACTCAATTGACCGCGTGCCTTATTTATTACTAAGTGTCACCACCTTACCACCTTGTTGACCGAAATTTTCATGAGCGAGGAGAGCAAGAAGCAGCAAAAAGTTCCAGGAGGAGTAGTTATAGGCCCAGATGGGAAGCCATGTAAAGCTTGCACCGTCTTCAAAACGTTTTCGCATTCGCAGGCGAACAAGGCCGCCAAAACCACTACCAGTATGTCATCTGTACTCTAATAAATGGTTAATATTGACTGAACATGCCTATAGCTGGCCAAAAACTGACACCGGCAGCACTGGCTGGTGCATCAGCTCTGGTTAATGTCCCACCAGAATGTCCACCAGATTCAGAGCAATTGGGAAGGTCAACTTGGACATTCTTGCATACCGCTGCGGCTTATTATCCTGAGAAACCGACTCCTCAACATCGAAGGTCGATGCTTTCACTTTTGACCTCACTTCCTATCCTGTACCCTTGTAGCTATTGCGCAGAACATCTTGGAGGAGAAATGGAGAAGAACCCGCCTGATGTTTCTTCACGAGAAAAACTTTCGCAATGGCTATGTAACGTACACAATGAGGTCAACGAGAGGCTCGGGAAGGAGAAGTTTGATTGTAGTCGGGTCTTGGAAAGATGGAAAGATGGTCCTGCTGATGGAAGTTGTGATTAGAAATGGGATATGACTTATGCTCGTATTTAGTTTGGTTGTGGTTTACATGGCATCTCTGTCTAGTCATTCTGGAACGACCTTATTTCATTGTTAAACAGATACATACCACTACTTTCATTTGATGCTACCCAGTCTAAGCGAGGTTTGGTAGTCGAGGGAAGGGGCACGTGAGGATTGGGGTGGCGAATGACTGCAATTTGGACCTTACCATGACATTTCTCCCTTGCACTAACCTGGTCTTCTCTGAAAACATAGCAGTCGCTGTATATGGACCTTATGTCTATGTTTTTGATCTGATGTTCGTCTTTTGATCGAGCTTGTTTGTTTCGAGACCAATCGTCCCCTAACCAATTCCAAAAGAGCGGCCAAAGTCCTCCAAGCAACCTCTCCAACATTTGATGAATCTCGATCAATTCTCCCTATTTCTGCATCTGTTCGCAATGTTGCGATTGCTCTCACATCTGGAAAGCTGGTCACCATCGACGAGCAGAAGAAACTCAAGGTTTGGGATCTGCATAGCCTAGACGTACTCAGTAGCCGGTCAGTCGAATAAATATCATAGGTGATTACCCTCAACTAAATATCCC